CCACTTGTACAGTCTGCAAGAAACACAGTGAGTTCAGAAAGCAATGCGACTCAACCCAAGTCTGCTTAGCACATACTTGACAGCAAATTTGATCTCATTTATCCCAGCGTACTGACTGCAGCATACACCAAGGGATGTTGCTGCTTTCAACTTCTGAAAATAGAAATCTCAATTTGTCTGCACCAACTTCTGCTGACAGAAAGAGCCAATCAACCTGATGCGACCTTGCGGCTTTACTTCAGATATCAAACTGGAAGCGTATACAAGTCGCATAGAAACCCTTCATATAGCACCTTCATGACACCAGGTCGAAAAACAAACCAGGCAGCTCAGCTCCCAAACCTTCTTTGAACAACTTCTCCTTCGTCGCTCGTTATGCACGCGCAGATTTTAGATTTCAAGACTCCTCCTGTAGGTGGAAGGCAATCTCGGCAAAATCACCTCTAGTCAATCAACCACTCTGAAGACGTGCGAGTAAGATGCCTTAAGGCCTTCACAGCGACAGAATCTTTCGAAGCTATACAAAGCAATCAAACTGAAAGACTGTTTCTCTTATGCTGACCAGTACGTCAACTAATCTCACCAATGACAGCAGACCTTCCAGAGCAAACTGGCTACATCAAACATCAAAGGTGTCCCAGAGGCATATGAACACCTTTCAAAACTGCGCAATTGATTCCAATCCATTGATTGATTTTAAAGTGGACTCTCAATCGACAGGATTTGTTAAAACTAAATATGGCAATCCTGACGGACTGTTTCGCTTTCGGGGTAACTTGTCAACTGAGCTGTTTGTCACTGGATCTCAATTTTGGGAGCAAAGCTTTCAAAACCAACTGGCTACATAGATATCAAGACTCACCTTTGATCGCAGAAAGGCTCCCAGAGGCGTATGCACACTTCTAGATTCGCACCAGTCCAATCTGCTGAGGAGGACTCTGATAGCGACAGACCTTCAGAATCTGTACAAGGTAATCAACGTAAATGGTGGTTTGTTTACCAAGTTACTTCCCAGCTGACCAGTATGTCCCTGAACCTCATCTTTGACAGCAGACCTTTCAAAGCAAACTGGCTACATCAAACATCAAACAGTCACCTTTATTCAATATGGTGTTAAGAGAGGCGTTTCTCTGTTTTTAAAGAAAAATATTGAAAGGAACGTCTGCAAACGACATTTGTGAGAGGCGTCTGTATATTTTGAAGTACAAGCTGTGAAGGAGCATTTGCAAATGACAGAACTTGTTGAGTCTATACAAGGCAATTGAACTAAAATCGTACTCCTCTTCTGCACCTACTTGTCAGGTGACCAGTATGGCATTAAATATCGTCTTTGACAGCAGACCTTTCAATGCAGACTGGCTGCAGCAAACATCTAGCCTCAAGGGCTGTTGCTGATATGGAACTCTATCTAGATGCAAATCAATAAGCTTGGAAAGCATCTGCACTAGGATTTGCAAATTAGGGGGCTTACCAGCACACCGGCCAAGGAAATAGTATCGCTGTAATGAAGAACACGGATTTAGGTACCTGCTGCATTGTAGACTGCTTAAATGCGCGTCATGTGCCAGTCAAAGCAACCAAAGCAGCTGCTGCTCAAAATCAAAGCGGTGACATATACACTGCCAACAATCCAATGAAACATCATTCTTATTTTCAAGGAAAGCAGCTCACCTGCAGGAGCATTCGCAGTCAGCTACCGGTACCTGATTCACAAAATGAGAGGCAAAATGAGCGGCAAACTACACACTAGGTATAACAATTGTCAGATGGGAGCACGCATGACTCGCTCCCAAGCATAGCTTCTTGTCCGATCATCATGTACGGTACGACCGTGATCGAGTACCGACGGTGACCGTACAGAAGTGGGTTACACCCGATACCTACATCCAGTGCACGACCAGCGCGGCAATTAACCAAACCAACTTCGGCCTTATTTTCAACCGCCCGATGTGCGCCACGTGTCCCCCCCCGCCCGAGGGTCGTGCGGTCCGCATTAATCGCAGCAAACCAAATGAACTTCGGCCTTATTTTCAGCCGCCCGATTGGCGCCACGTGTCCCCCCCGGCCCGATGGTCGTGCGGTCCTCAGAGATCGACCCGGTTGCGCCGTCGAAGTGCAAATGCGGTTGCATTAGTGCCGCCGGCTGCCGTTTTTTGGCTACCGGCGGGCAGTGTGCCGGTCCGGCCCTCCACGTGCTTCCACGTGGCACAGAAGCTCGAGCCTGCCCCTCAAGTCCCACTGGTCCGACCCAAAATGGAACTATCGAGAAACGGTGCTGTGCAAGTCATGGACAGAGCACATTGCCCGTGAATTTTCGAAGGTTTGGCAGGCTGGAGCAAAATGCATTGGCCACTGAGGACCGTTTTCTTGATGTCGCCCCCTCTCTTGCACTTACATGCTCGAAAATTCATAGATATTGTAATGCTTTCGATACTTACGCTCCAACCGGCTGCATATGTAGACCGTTCACTCATCGAATATCGCATGTTACACAGCGGATTGAAGCCTAAATTAATTCATCGGGATAAATCGGCCGATAAAGGGCCTATACAATGTTCGCACAAACCCGTAAGGTGGTAAGGCGGCAAGCCTCTCAGCTTGCTGTACCACTTGGTCGAGAAATGCCAGGCTATTTCGGTCGCAAACCCGTAAGTAGGTAAGGCGGCCAGGCGGCAAGGCTTTCTGAATCCCCCAGAGATTAAAATTCCTAGTGTTCGGAAATTTTGCCTGGCCACACATCTGACTTGGATCTGGCTCAGCCATCCTGCTCATCTTTGCACCCGAGCACCAACGAAGTCACATCACAAAAATTAACTCGATATAGGTCTTATTAAGATCTGAATAGAAGTGTACAAATCCTGTACGGATACTGGTTGGGAATAAAACCTGTGTTGAGAACCATACGGAACCATACGGACCTATACGTGTAAGAAACCTATACGAATCCTATACCGATACTACCATAGGTCCTATAGAATTCATCATATGGGAGCATTATAGGCTTTATACAGGGCCCCGCATGGGTTTTTTCCCGTTATAGACTAGTATATGGGCACGATATAGGATTCGTTTGGCATTTGTATATATGTTATAAGGTCTTAACACGACGGAGTCATATGGATACCGGTTCGACACAGTTCCTATATGCAATTTGCACAGTCCACGTATAAAAGTTGTACCGGATTGACACGGGTTATATACAACATCTGCATGGGCTTTCGACCGTTATGGAAACATGTATATGCTCTATGCAGATTCCAAGTTGGATTTGTATATAAATCGCATAGAAAATGTACAGATCTTGTATAGCTTACATTCCATTTTGTCATCCGATTTGTC